ATTTAAGATAGCTGCAGTCAAAGTACAGCAGACTATTACTTCAATATTTAGGTACTTTGAGGGATCTTGGCAGAATAATGATTTACTTTGTTTCCATTGCTTCTGACAGACAAATATTTTGAATTATAACAAGTAAACCTGCACTTTGATTTTAGCTTCCATAAGTGGACAGCAGGAAGCTTGCCAATCATCTACTACATTACAAAAAAGTTCCAACAGATTACATAGTAAAAGATGAGCATTTAAGTGCATCAGAACAGATTTGAGATGCCAACTGACCTGAAGAGCAAAGCTTCACTGTGGACTTTCACAGTGACTTATAAGCACTGGTATTCACAAGGATAAACCCGCGAGTCCCTGCTTTTTACTCTTGTATTTTAGTCACTCTTGGACTTAACCACATATTAATAAATACTTTCAGATACCTTACAAATGCTTCGGGACTGCTTCTCTGAATGCACGAAGCCAGGCTCTGGACAGCAGATGCTTTGACTTGCGTGTGGCTCTGGAACTGGAACTGCCAGCCCAGATACTCCTTCCCAGAAGTCAGAAAACACCAACATGCTGGCTGGCTGATGGCCCAGCCAGCTCCAGCAGGGTTGGACACAGACAGAACAAACTACCCACCGAAGATCTTTTTCTAGATTTCCCGTACTGTCTTACACAGGGGTTTATCGCACATACACAGGTTGCTGGAATACAGACAATGACAACACTATGAGCTCTCGCCTAGGCCGAACTCTTATTAGCTCTCCCCTAGGCAGAACTCTTTACGACTAACTTGAATAATCAATCTGCAGCATTCACTTTGGAAGCCCTGCACCATATTTATGGTGAAAGAAAAGGAGGTAAGATGTACAAAGCACAGTGGTTTATATCTTGTGCCTGCTACTACTGCAGCCAGTCATCTGAATAAACTCAGGCTACCAGAGGAATAATTAGCACCAGGCTGAGCTGATGCCCTTTTCACCCTTAAAAGGAGCTTCTCAAATGCTCAGAAACTGGAATGGCCAGTTTCTGCACATACTTTGTAGATTAGCAATGCAGAAAAACCTCCACAGGGTTTCAGAATGAATCCAGATTAGTAAACCAAGGAAGAATATTATCTAAGCATGGTATCCACAGCAGGGCTGATCAAAATGCATTACACTAACAGCAGCATGTCCTCCTGCAATGCCTCGTGAGGTGTTTTTCTAGATATGCATCCTACTTTCATTTTCATAACTGAGCTACTGACAGCTCTGGTCAGATCCTGGAAAATCTGCTAGGCTTCGTTTTGAAAGCCTATGGAAGGTTTCCATGAGGATCTTCATCAGGGAGGCATGCTCTGCTCTTCTGCCTCCATATCCATTTTCTCCTTTTTTTAACCACCTCTGAGCTGAAACGGCTTTCTCTAAAGAGACTGAAACTGGAGGTAAATGAGCACTCACCTATATAGGAGAGGCCAATCAAATGCAAAGAAACAATCTTCAATTACATGTGGGATGAAGATGAAAATGGAAAACACTAAACTGGAACAGAGTATCTTTTTTCAAATCCTTCATGAACCTCTGCTCCCAACTGAATCTTTAATGGTTTCTTGACCCAAAGGTCCTCCCACTCCAGCACCATTCCAACACTGCAAACATAAAATTGTTTGGAAGAACTACAAAATCCACTCCAGTTGCTTTGATTAAAAAAGCAACCACAGAAATGCTTCCTCTTTGTTGAGTTGAAAGCACAGGGTTAAAGCAGCTCAGGTAAGTATTCAAATGCTGAAGGATTTCACTTCAGGAAATAATTTACACATCTGTTTACCAAGACAGGGCTCTGGACAGGGAAGCCCAAAACTATGCTAGGCTTGCCAGAGCAGTGAAAGTGTAAACTGAAATGCTTTAACACAGATCATGCCTAACAAATGGACTAATGTTTCTGCTCAGCAGAACTTGTTATTAACCCCTTTGGTACTGCAATATTTCAGCACAAGATAAGCTCAAGACAAAAGAGAAAAAACTATTCTACAAATATGTCTCATGCTGGCTTTTGTAATGACATGTCAAAGTTGTTTACACTTCCCCATAGTATCAAAGTACGCTCAACTGAAGATGATAAAGTGAGTTAGAGCAAGCCTAAAAACAGTTACTGCACTGAAACTACTCACTGCCTTCCAGAGAAATGAACTGTCCTACCTCTTCAAATCAAGCTCATCTTATATCTTTGCTTGCTAGGTTAACCACAGCTCTGCAGACAGATTTCTCACTGGTTAAGCCGTCTTCATCCAATTAGAGAAGCTATGCTATACAACACCCCCCTTCTTTCTACCCAGTGACCCTCTTGCTAATACGGAAAAGTTGCATTTGTCTTCAGCCATTAAATCCAATTGTGAATTTCATTAGCAACCTGCTGTAACTCCAAACTTTCTGATCCAGTATTTTTAAACAGAAGCACATAATTTTGTAGTACTCTGAGATGGTCCTCATTCCCATTTTAAGGATCCATGGCACAGTGCAGTTCAGGAAAAATCAACCATGACCATGTATCACACAATCTCCACATAGAAATTAACAAACTTGCCATAAACTTGCCACTAGTTGTAAGTCTCCTATTCATAGGTACTGTGAACCAGCTGATAGCCTGCTGCAGGATAAGATCATTTACTAATTTTAAGAACATGTTGGAAAAGATTTGACTTTATTAGCTCAATACATGCCAAACAAGTCCATTAAAGGTCTCACAACAGTTAAGAACATCCCTCAAAGCCATTTGTATTAAGCTGTATCACTGGCAGTAGATTGACTTATTCCAGTGTTACTTCAAATTAACATCAGTAAAGTAACTTGTCCCATCTGCCTTTCCCAGACACGAAGCACAGCATTCCACTTGGCTGTAATACCCCTATATCTTTAACATTTAATACCTCTAGCTCCTTTAACAAGACTTTAAACTCAGCCTGCTGCTCATCTGCCCATTTAAAACCAGAAAACTAAGAAGAGTGTCTAGACAGGGGAACTGGGCAGCATTTTTCTTAGTAAAAAGAAGAAATACTAAAAACACATTGAAAAGTGTTTGAGGAAGTGTGGTGGGGTTTTGTAGGCAGCTTCAGATCTATCTTTCTGCAAAGAATCAACAAATGTGGATTAAGAGGTCTACTTCATATACAACATGTTTTTCCAGAACTAAAAGATGAAAGGGGAAAGTGCTGGCTAAGGCTAAGTAGCAGGTAGTCAGCTTTCATAGTGAAGAAGGCTACCATAAATTACTATAATACCTGTTATGTTCGACATTGATAAAGTTCTTTAGGTTGGCAAGGCAACAATGCCAAGGTTATAAAGTTATGCAAGAAGTCAAAAGCAAGTCCGAGTATGAAGACCAGAAGTGACTTACAATATTGAAATTTCACCTACTGTTTCACTGCCCATTTGTTATCCATGCATGCACTGCACTAGCCAGAGATTAAAACATAAGGACATGCAAGGATGCACACAAACCTAGATATCACTGCTGATGAAAGATACTCGAATCATGGTCATTACTACACTCAGGACAGTGCTCAAGAGATGTCAGAACCGAGCTAATCTTGGAAAGGATCAGCAGCAAATAGAAAGTATTTTGCTGTTGTTACAAGCCATGCTATATCCGCTACCTGACTAGTAAGAGTGGCAAGAAGCCGCCCATCTGAAAAAGTGTATTTGTGAACAAGAAACCATGATAAAGGGCAATGATAAAAAAGATCTGAAATAGCTTGGATTCCAAAGAAGTACAAATGAAAAAGTATGGCTGGGAGCACAGTACTCAAGACAAGTTATGAGTTAATGACATATCCAAAGCTAAAAGACAGCTTACATTTTACAGCAGACCAGAGATCTCAAAACTATGAGCTTCTTAGAACCGGATAGAGAAGAGTCAAACTCACTGTATTTGATACTAGATTTGAGATAGACACAGATTACCAGTGTCCACAACACTCCTATTGCTGTTCATTATGTGCACATGGTTAGTAATCCTTTACTCATGTCTAATTTTCATTGCTGAAAGCAGGGTTGTCCTTGGGTGCTACAAACAACTGCCGAGTTGCACAATACATACACAGGAGGGGAAATTTTCACTTCAATTACATTACACTTTTGAATATTTTAAAAGACATCTGAAGGGTACCAGTAGTTTTTTTTTAATATGAGACCATACAATTGCTGCACACAAAGCTGTTCAAAATACCTGTTTAGGCATGATGTATTGCACTAATCTTTAACTAGCCCTATCCAAATTATACCAATAAAAATTCATTAAAAAAACCAGCCAAACCAGAATTGTACTCTTAAGGAAAATTAAAAAATCAAGTAAGTACACAACATCAGTGTAAACATGTTCTTTAATATCACTGAAGATAAACTTAGAAATCCAAGTCTTAGGTGGGTTTCAAATAAATAATCATTTTGAGTAAGTGTTTACATACAAAGGGAGCTCTCAAAGCAGCAGTGCACAGTTTATAACTCCTCCGTGCTAACACACCCCCAACAAGAGAATGTACAGTAGGTAGTGCACACTGGAAAAACAATCACAACATACAGCACACTTGCCATCTTTGATGCAACCACTGAATATGTTGTTCAAAAGGGGAGAGAAGCAAATGAAGGCATGCACTGCCCTTTAAAGCACCACTATTTTCCCATAGTCTTTTTACCAGCATAATACAAATAAGCAGCCTGGGAATACAGGTTATCTTTCTGCTTCTAAAATCCACTCTCAACTGAAAGATTAACACAGCAGTGCTCCGATACAGAAAATGTATTCCTCAAACTGATATTGCAGCATAACATATCATCCCCATCCCAGCTAGTCTCTACTCGGGGACACCTACTCTAATTTTTACATTCCTCTCCAATAACTGCAGATGTAACCCAGAAAGTGTAAAGACAGGTAAGAGTTGCTGTTTCTTGTAGATCCTGGCCCAGCATACTGAAAAGAACCAAGAATGACAGGCCCCAAGAAGGTGTATGGCTACCCAGCTGGTGTCCTACGTTACTTTAGTTCAACATGCAATTGATCTGCAATTAGCATTGCAGTGCTCAACACAGAAGTACATAACCTACTAGCATAAATTCCTCAACACAGCTAATCTGCTTCATTACTCTTCTTTCTTCTCCATTTCTAATACATCTTAAAAAAGTTCTGTCTCTCTGCTATGAGTCAGTAAAAAAACCTTACTGTGTAATACTGCTGTGTACCTACTGAATAAATATTACAGGAGTTAAAGGATTGTTTCCATTGCTAGCTTGGCTTTGGCAAAACACGAATTGGGGTAACATACACTGTATACTTCACACATTTGAGTAGGGGATGCTGCAACATTTAACAGATACAAAAAATAAGTCTTAGATTTCTAGAACTGTCAGCACAAAGGATTTCCAAGTTGTTCTGAGTACAGGAGCAGAGTCATCAATTTTCAAGGAAAGCCACATAGTCAGTCAATCTGGCTAACTGCTGTTCATTTGGAATTGGTGGAACCGGAGCAGGTTCTACAAAGACAAAACAAAAGCATAATTAATGAAATTAAGAAAGCAAATCCATCTGCAACACCATCCATCGCAACAGTAAGGAAAACATTAATGCATCACACTGTTACACAGTCTTATGGGGGCTTAACTATATCTCCTACCCAAGCAGCTTTAGCTGACAATGTTGTGGATAACAGAAAAGTAAAGTAGTCCAAGAGTTACTAACAGTAAAGATAGCTGTAACAAGTTCCAGTTGTCAGCAGTCTCCAATTTTTTTTTTATTTTTTATATTGGAGTCTGAATAACTAGACTGACAGTACTTCCACTTGACAAAAAGGCTCCTGGAGATCTGCAGTTGCTCCTTTCCTTACAAGATGCCATACTGAAGATATTAAATAAATCTATTTGGTTATCTGACTAACAAAACACAGCATGGGTTACAGCAGAATGCAGTGCACATGAGGATTCTTATATAAATGTCAGCTAACCTAAGATTAAAGTTTAACAATAGGACGGAAGACAAGTGACTAAAGCTAGGCAGATAAGTTAGGAATTAAAAATCAGAAATAAAAAAATGGCAGGAAAACTTGCATTTGCCTTCCCTGAAGAGCTAACAAATTAGCATTCAAGATATAGTTACAATAGATGTACTGCTTAGGGCTGTGTGTGACAGAGGAGGCTGACAATCATAAGATTGCTTTCTTCTACAGGGAAGACTTATGAAGTCCCACATCACACAAAAGCAACAAAACCTCCTCAACTGCATGTAAATCAGAAGTTTTCAACAAAACCCTTTCTGTTTTACAGGGGCTGTCTACCCCTGCTTTGGAATCCGCTCCCTACTTCGGCTATGGAAGCAGGCATCTCAGGAACTCCTTAAAATGTGAGTGAAAGAGGAGACCAAGGGAGAAATACATTTATACAGCTCCTGACTGGGGTGGGCATTCTTGAGGCAGGAATGACAACATTCACTTCCCTAAGACCCAACTCCAATTTTGTGGTGCTGGTGAAATTGTGTTTATATTATTCATGCAAGTTTAGATATGTGCAAGTAGATTATATATAAACAGAAAGTACCTGATGAATGAATAAATCTGTTAAAGGAAGCTTCCAGCACACCTGAAGAAAAACACAACAGAAGTTAGCCCAGTGACCAATTTTAAACAGTTCTATACATCATGCCAACACTGGAAAAAGGTAATTAAGCCTGTTCATTTACCATGTTTTACTTCATAGCTACAAGCAGAATACCCAAGGCTTAGCTGGTTAGACACGCAGCTTCAAAACAGATTACAACCTCATGCCTTTCTTTTGCCTCAAAAACAGTTCTCACTCACTTTTGGAAAAGAACCACATCTAACTAACTATTAGTACTTGTAAGCACCACGTATTTTGCAACCAGTTCGTGACATGCAAAAGCTCAGGACTCTGGTTGGTTATGTGCCCCGAGGGATACATTTCAGCACATTGCCTGGCACATATCTACTGCAATGTTGTGGGCCCTGAACACCTAAAATTTCTGCCCATACAGTCTATTTTCTTAGATTAACAGACATTGCCATTTTAGATACACTGTAATCTGGCTCCTTCTTCCAGAGCTGTACTGTGCAGTTGAAGAGCAGTCATTTCATCTCTGCCTTCATAGCTTAACATTTATTTTTGCCTCAGCCAGCTATAGATACTTCTTTAGCAAAAAAAACCAAGTATTTTTGCAGGCTGAGCTTTACAGGAACAGATATTCTGTTAACATCATGACACTAAAGAAAAGATCCAGTAGAATAAGTTTTAAAGAACAAAATAAATAATACCAACAACTTGAGCTCCTCAGAACACAACGATCCACTAGATCCCTGCCCAAAAAAGTTCTACTTCTCCTGAAAGAAAACCTCAGTTCAAAAAGGTGTATTTTTACTCATCTTTATTAGATTAAGACATGTCATTTGAGGTCATCCAACTTATGTTCCTCTAAGCCAGAGCCAGCAGCAGAGGAGGAGCAGCAGAAATAGCATATCCTGTCTGCTTTTGTATAAAAAAGTTAATTTGAGGATGTAGTTTAATCCAAACTACTTGTAACCCCCAGCCCCCCACCTTTGTACTTCCTACATTTTATAAACATTCCATGTTGCACAGTGGCATAAGCCCCCATAAAAATGTCTAAAAGAATACTGTGTAAAATTAATTAAAAGCTAACACCTCATTACTAAAAAAATGCTAAATTCAAAGTCTTATGAAATAATAGCTCCACCTACCTGGCTTTTTAGGCATTACCATACGAGTTGAAAAGTCTGCTTGCCAGCCCTGTTCTAGTACACCTGAAAAGGCATTTTTACATTTGTAAGGACAAATATTTTATATGCTTGCTAGAAATGCAAAATAAAGATGCACTGCCTATATGCCACAACTCTAAGACATATTTCTTGTAACCATTTAGACATTTAGGTCAACATACATGCTCATGAGAGTAATAACAGCACACAAAACTACGTTAACCCACTACCTTCAGTCTTCCCTCACTGCTGAATTGCTTTACCACTTCCACATATAGAAGGGGAGGTAATGGTAAGTAGCAGCAGATAATAAAAAAACCCAAACAAACAATTCTCCAGAACCAAGACATTTTTCTTTATCCACTGCCCCATCACTTCTAACAGTCTCAGACTTTGTGCCTGTTTCTACTGGCCATCACTTACAGCACACTCCAACCTCCATCATCTGTAGAAATACTATTCGGTGAATAAATGCAAAGTACCTTTCACAGCTTCTTCTACAGGAAGCCCAACAAAGGCTGCAAAATCATCTGCAACTATTGAGGTATATGCCTGAGAAACCAGTCCAAAGGCTCGTCTCCTAGTTGCATCTAAGAAGAGATAAACACTGTAAGCAGACAGTAAACTAACCGCCGTAACTAGGACATCTGAGAATGTTTTTCCAATTCCAACACATTTGGAAAACCACTACTGCTCTTAGAGCTAGCACGTAAGAAGCTCCCTCTCCCTTCCCACAATTCACTGAAGTACCACAGTCCGCAGCCAGAGACAACAGCTTGCTCTATGCCAGGACAAAACCCCTCAGAGACCACATTTAACTTTCAAATGCAGTTTGCAGCATCTTGGGTACTCCCACCAGTATGGAAACCAGTTCAGGAAACTTTGCTGCTGTTGGCATTCTCCATTTTCATTCATGCCATTTTACCACATCTGCTTTGATATTAAGGCATCTGTGAATCAGTTGTTTCAAAGCTACAGAGAATGTTATTGTAAAATACCTTGGAAGGCTTTTTAGCAGTCTGCATTGCCCTCTAGTAGCAAGACTTTGCATGTTACTGTTGCATGGTCTGTAACTAAAACATTTGACTAAAGCCACATTTAAAAGGAAAACTTTTTCATAAGCATCACAAGGTTCTGGAATGCCAAGACAAGTTCCCTAGATGACTAGTTAAAAGCCCAATAAAACTGGGTAACTAATGGTCTGTTTGCTACTACAGAACAAAACATATCACGTATGTATAGTGTTTCACATTGCAGTTTCCATCACACACAATCCTGATTAATAAAAACATTTCAGTTTGTTTCTACAAGTTTTTGTAATGAGCTTTTAATTTACACCTGATAATTACATTCCTTTCAGTAAAACCTACAAAAGCTTGGTAATCTTCCTGACCACTTCTGATTTTTCATAGTAAGTAGTCATTGTCTACTTGTCTATTTCTGTTTGAGCACACAGAAATAATTTAAGGCGACAGAATGCCATGCTACCTACAGAAGTTCAGTTTGTACCTCTAAGTGCTTCCATGATTGGTTGAATAGTCTCGGACCACTGATGCGCACTGATTGTTGTATAGATTCCTGGAAAGTCTCTCTGCCAGATTCTTTGTCCTACTGACCAAACTGCACCAAGTTCAGCATTTGCCTGTTGCGACAAAAAACCACCAATTAATCCAGAATTGGGTATTCTCTACAGGGACCATTCTGTATAAGCCCATTCCCACTGCAAGTGTACCTCACAATACCTGTAACGATGAACAAACAAGCATTGTGAAATCTTGTTCTAGCAGGTGTCACTGCTGCAAGCTCCCTGATCTATCCTCTGCCAAAATGTTATCACCTGTTTCAGCAAAGTCTGCCGGCATGTCACTTACACCGATCCAAGCTGGCACACCAGCTAAAACAATCATGGAGGACAGTTTGCCTCAGACTGCTAACCAGAGTTGCAAAAGGACAGACAGCTTATTTTCTGTTTAGAGAGATGCCTGCCTCTTCAGCATAGGCTTTACACAGCGCAATGGCTGTTTGCACAGTGAAGGCAATTTTCAAATTGAAAGTCCTGAAATGCTGACAAATCGGTCACACTTAATATGGTGCCATAGTCACTATAACTGCTCTCCCACTGCTGGTTTTGAGGGCTACTTCTACCATGTTGCACATTGTCCTATTGTCAACTAGACTTCACAACACCCCATCAGAATAGCAATCAAGCACCAAACTTGGTAATAAATATTTTCAACTGTAATGAGAACAGATTTGTTTCTGAAGATTTACGCTAATCATTACTTCACTCAATTAGTAGAGGATTCATCAACACAAATATGTAAGAAAAATCTGTGCTTTGAGCTGTAACCTTCCCAAAATAATTCATGCAATGAGCTTCCCCCACCAAGAATGATGCTTCACACAAAATGCAAGTTACACCAAAAAAAGCCAGATTATTCACAGAATATTGTTGTGCAACAAATACAGCAGAGGATTCAGAGAAAGGCCAAGTAAAGTTTGGTCCAGATGTCCACTGACTCAACCAATGTAACTACTTCTTTCTTCAAAGAGAAAGAAAATTGTTTCAGAACCATCTGACAGGTCCCATCCTGACCATAAGGCTTCTTAACACAAGACTATAGAACACTTGTTTTCTTGCAAAATATGATAGCAAACTAAAAACCTAGGAACAGTGCAGTCTGGAAGCGTTTCTGGTATTATATTTAGCTACATCCTCAAAATGCTTCTTTGATGCAAATGCAGTGCAAAAAAAGCACCTTCAGAAAGTTAATCAATTTGAAGATGCAACTTCTCTGAAGTCACTTTTCACTACACATGGTCTTCTGCACCCTCATGTGGAACGCGGCCCCATCCCAGAGTCAGATCCATTGCTTTCCTGCAGCTGACTACCCTTTATCACGAGGCTTTCTACCAAAAAGTCTCCAGATTTACTGAACTCTACTGCACCAGCTTATTTGGGAAGGAAGAGAGGCAGCAGACAAGAAACTAGCAGATCTTAAAGACCAACATGCCATCTGCTGGGCAACCAGTTCACAGCACAGAACTGAGCCCAAGGCTTCTCTGGTATCAAATGGCATTTCATGAAGTACTTACCGATTTGATAGCAGGAGGGATTCTTTTCCAAAGATATCGTGCATTATTCCTAAAAAAATTAAGTTAAAAATACTTCTCAGTAACCAAATATTTGCTACAAGGAGACACCAAAGGTTTTTAGAGATGCTATCATTAACACAGTCTCAGTGCTTTAAAATATTCCCTCTATGTCTGCTGAAGTAGGAAAACAAGGTTATTCCCAAGGAGACAACGTGACTGCGATAATACAACAAATAGTTCATCGACCACCTCATTTAACACCACTTCAGAAAAGGTTTCTCATTTATCTACTCTCAGCAGCATTCCACAGAAGTTAGTTTTGCAGTTTTATTTTTGGAATGGCTGCATCTTTGATGAACATATATACAAATAATACTTTTTAATAGTGTCAGAAGTCATTTAGACCAGTGCTCTCCAAACTTTTGATCACGTACATCTAGCAAAATAACATTTGTGAGCATACACCACCAGTATATGCATATGTACTTATAAATTACATGTGCCACTGCATTAATATATTACGTATGCTATAAAACATACAAATATAGAAGTTTAAAAAGATTAAATAAACATAATTTAAAGATATTTTTATTTTACTTAATAGTACAAAAATGCTTTCTTCATGTGCCCATACTCCACTTTGCACACCAAAGACTTAGACTGTTTTGTGCATGTTCTTCCCAACCCAGCTTTGTCACACAGAGTCTGGAGACTTGGACATATTGAAATACTTCGTAATTGATCTTCAGAGTCTAAACAAGTCTAAAAATGAACTGGTTACAAATTCTCAGAAAGATTTAAAATGCAAAATAGAGGAAAAAGTTTCACTGGTTTTCATTAAAGCACAATTCTAAAACTTCAAATTCATTTGAACCAAGGCTATCTGCATTAAACCTAATACTCAGTACCAGTGCGCAGGGAATTTGTCTGAAAAGAATATATACCTACAACGCAAGAAAACACTCCAGTCTTCAAATCCCCACACCAATGCTTACTTTGCCTTGATAATCAAACACAGCAGTGTCATTTGTTCTGCCTGAATAAAGAATCAGCAGCTTCTCAATAAAACCCTAAACGTACTGAATCAAGCTCGCACAGGGACATGGTAATAATCCACTAGACTGAATTTAAAGGATTACTGCTTCATGCAGACTTAGCTCATTCAAGCCAACAGTACCCCTCATGTTTAACATGGCCAGTTTAGAGTTATTCCGCTGTAATTGGACACAAGGAGCAGCATGCAATCTTACTCCAAGCAAACACAGCCTTGAAAAGCCACAAATCAAAACACTGAAGTGTTGAGCACTTTCCAAAGGAGTCAGTTTCACTATTTAAATAACTTTCTTCAAGGATTTTCCTGACAGAGCAAGAGAGTGAAAGAGACTTCATTCTGTGAATACTTTTTTTAAAAAAACCAGCACTGCCTACATGGATTTTGTTAGTCACACAACCCATTTCTAATATTCTGGCAACTACAGCTCAAGCTAATAATGACAAATTTGATATCTGAAGTAAAGATTAATACAAGCCACTTACATGTCATTATGCAACAGGTATAAAGCTAGAAGCTGGCCATAAACAAGCGGTGTTGCAATTCCTCCGGGGGCCTAAAAAAGAAGTACAAATAATTTGGTTACATATTTTAAGAACAAGATACCTTACAAAATATACCAGGTAGCCAACTTTAAGGAAATCTGAACATTCCAAGACAGCTGGTGTTTTTCACACCACATAATAGGTCTGGACAAATTGTCAGAGTTGCAATGTTACAGAAATAATTGTGTCTTATGACGAAGAATTAATTTGCACAGGCCATAAGTTTTATTTAGAAAACTCAGTTTGGTTAGCTGCATGAATAAAGTAAGGTTACACCTTTCTAATGCTCCAGCTTATGCTCTTGAAAGTGGTAACCATCTCACTTCAGAGTTCCACACAAACAGATGGTTTTAGGCCTCACAAATTCATCTATCTTGAGCTAACTTCAGGTCAATTCAGGGCACTCCACCAGACTAAAGTTACTTCACTCACTTGAACTGCCCTTCTTGAAAATCCAGCCTAAGCTTTGACACCTGCCACACTTCAGCAGACCTCACAAATCATACAAGTAGAAAAAATTAATTATAATAAAGTTACAAAATTTTGAAAGTCTATAATCGCTTAAAAGCTGAAAAGATTTCCAATAAGCTTTTAGCAATTTATCAAAGGGTAGTGTGGCAAACACTCAGAGGAAGCCAATTATGCAGCTATTTGATTTAATTACATGTGTGACTTATAGGCTCATCTAAGCCAAAAGCAGGTGATTAGTTGTGTCCTGGAGCAGATATCTCCACAGCCATTCTTACACTCTTACACTGTTTCCAGGGCTTATCACCCACATACAAATACAACAGTTTCTGCAACAGTTCCTTGGATTACAAAGCCATGTCAATTAATACCTCCTGTTTGGATTGTATCAACTCACCTTTGGTGTTTGTACTAAAAAAAAAGTCATTTGTTTCTCTGCCAGGAGACTAGTGAAACAGAAGGGAAAAGTAACTAACACCAAAACAACTGGATTTACAATCTACAGTCTTACTTAAGGAAGCTCTGTGGATGCATCTAGCCTGCAAAAAAGAAAAAAAACAGCCTACATACCAACTCCTAATCTGAAAAAACAAAGGCTAGCAGCAGATGATAGTGTGCCCACAAGAATCCTGACATGGATGCAGATATACATAGCAAATAACTTGCCAGCTTTGTCAAAGCCTTTGGGAACAGTTTGCCAGGGCTGCATCTGTTTCCACTTGCTCTAGGAGACTCTGCTGACAGACACAGCAGAAACCTTAAGCAGAGTGCAGTCTAAGTTCAGCGGCTTTGTAACAGCTCCCAGGGACCCACCAAGGTCCAACACGCAACGCTCTGCAGCAGGGAAGCAAGAAGGATGTGTCAAACCTCCTCAGATGGCTTCAGAAACAAAACCCAAAGCCTGGTGGGCTCCACCCCTGCCACTCTTCCCCAGTACACACCTTAGCAGAAAGTGCACCTTCAAAGCAAGTACGAAGCAGCTCCCAGAAGGAAGGGCTAACCACACTGCACCCTCCCGCGTGGTACAAGGGCACTCTCCTGCTTCTCTATGCTCACACATCGCTTGGGGCAGCAGGTAGCTCATGTTTTCAGCACTAGAATCTCGCTCCAGCTCCATAACACTCATCTGCAGAGATCAGGGCATACCAAGGAAGTTACAGCACCACATAGAGAACATGAGAGGTGCCTGGGGTCAGCACAGAAACAGCGCACAGAAACATCAACTGAAGCTTGATGATGCACACCCATAAGTAGAGACCCCCTTACATGTAACGGCTATATTTTCTGCCACAAAACTATGTGGTTTGTCACCACCAAAGTTCTGCTGCAGGAAGTGACGACACTCTGGAACAGCTCTCTCCCTTCAACTGCCAGGGTAGCAAGATCTAAAAATCCAAATCACTGAAGAGTGCATGAAAGAGGAAAATTCAAAGTTTTCCCTTCTTTCAAATGGTTACAGCGGGACATGTGAGCTTCATATTTAGCAAAGCACTGGGAACTCTACAAGACAATAACGGGTCTATGGATATCACTCGGGAAAAGCTTTTAGCATTAACGCTATTTACCACAGGCTGGAGTCTGGCACACTGACAGCACAGGCAGTAAGCCCTGAAAACTCATCGGGCAACAGAATTTAAAACGGCACAGAGGAAGCTTCCAGCGTGGGCTTCCGTAACAAGCACACCACTGATCTAAGAGCAGTTCAGTGCCCCACTCCCCTTTCCAACACCTCTTTTTCCTTAACCACGCGAGACACAGAGATATGCAACCCTCCTTCTCGCACACCTCCCCCGCCCTCCGAAAACACCCTAATAATCACACTAAAACGCGCTCATCCGCCTGCGGCTCGCGAGCTGCTGGAAAGCTTCCCTGTAGGCTTTTTCAGAAGCGGCAGGCCGAAACGCTGCCCCCCCACCAACCCCACGCACACAGAGGGGGAGCGCCGCGAACCCCTC